TTTTTTCGACAGGTGTAAATTTGTTCTGTTTTTTTTTGTTGTTTTATTTATTTATTTTTTGTAATAATAAAAGTTACAAGATTTCGAGACAGCATCGGTTCAATTTTATCCTCTACAGAAGGCAAATGTCACTAACAGAGATGAAAGCGATCAAAATTGTTGAGAGCACTACCCTTCGGACTTATTTTTTTCCATCCTCTCGCTACCAATACAAAAACCTCATGAAAAAAGTTGGAAGAAGGAACACTTTTTCTTACCCAGAAATCTCGTCTTTCTGCTTGTTCCTGATTAGTTAGACCATTGAAAAATTAAAATACATCGCTATATGCTATTCCTTTTTTTTTAAAATTATAATTTAACCCAAGCAAGGCAATACGACACAAGGGTTTAATGAGGGTAAAATTAAAATGAGAAGCTTTTAAGGGACGGAACCGGAAACCCAAACTTAAGAAGGTAAGAAAAACATTTACTCCTGTTCAAAAAGGAAGAAGGAGCATGAACCGGGCGATAGTTGAACCCATCTAGCCCTATTTTACACTCTCTTCGTTGCAGAAATGTGTCTATAATAATATGTGTCTATAATAATAAATAGCGATGTGTCTATAATAATAAATAGCTATGTGTCTATAATATGTGTCTATAATAATAAATAGTGATGAAGATAAACAAAAATTATGTAACTGCAGAAATCCTCATAATTGTCCGCCTAATAATAAATGTCGCACTGAATCATTAATATACCAATGCAATATCTCATCCATTGAGGATCCAGACAACGTAAAAGTCTACATTGGATGCACAAGACATGAGTTCAAGAAGCGGTTCAACCAACATCAAAGTTCTTTTAGGATAAATAAATACCGAAATCAGACGTCCCTATAGAAATATTGCTGGTACTTAAAAGTAGCCAATAAAACACCTACTGTGAAATGGAAATTAATAATAAAGGCTAGAGTATGTAGGCATACATGAGAAACTATATATTACAAGTTTTATAAAATAAAAAATACCTAATCAATATATATATATATATATATATATATATATATATATATATATATAACAGCAACGTTGTCTATATCGTGTAACAGCAATATTTTTGGGATGGACAATTACACAACTGTTACACGACTACGACAACTTTTGCTTTTACAACCGATATATATATATATATATATATATATATATATATATATATATATATATATATATATCTTGTTCCCCGGATCATCAGACCTCACTTGAAGGTAACAAGAAGATCTCTGGAAAAATAAATTATAACCTTATCGGACCTTAAAGTTGTCTGGTTTTCTTTAAATTAAGTAATTTGCTCTGATTTAACATTGAGATCTATGATTTTTATCCTCCTTGGGATTATCCATACAGATTACCAAGACCAGCTTGGACCAGCTATGACAATCCAAGACCATCTATGACTAACGCGGCTCCGTGCATGTTTTTCCCAAATATGCACTGCCAGCCTTTGGTAACCAGGACGAGGCTCAGCCGAAGGGCAGAGACTCGTTCGGGGAGGTTGACGTTCGAGGAGGTTTAACATTGTTTCATTGAACAGATTACGTACTGCGCTGAATTCTATATTTATAGACTATGGTGAACATGGTCAACATATGTTTCTCTAACTCTTCAAATGACAAATGTATAACTAATTCTAATTAATTCAATATTTAAATGCAGCGATCAAATTTGGTCTCTTCTGTAGCTTATCGATGACTATCGCATATACTCCTTCCTATCTATTGCGATAATGGCCAATCCGAGCGTCCTCCACAGGAGCTAGTTTAAATGCCACCGAATAGGGCGGTTTTTACGCTAGTTTATAATATAACATGCACTGCAATGTTGGATACAAAAGGAAAATAAGAGTTACTCCCATTGAACCATGAAAGCAACATTTATGGCTAGTATAATATATTTTTAACCTCGCATAATCTGGCAACCCTGAATCTGAGCTCAACGAAAATCGTTCTCTGCGCCTAACTTATCTAGTGATTTTGATTGAGTTATGAATCATTGAAATCACCCAGTGGGAGCTGAAAAGTTACTTGAACAGACACACACGCACAAACACACGTATACACTGTATATTATATATAAGATAGTTCTTTGTTACCTTATCTATCTCGGTGTCTGTCTTTTTCTTTCTTTCTTTCTTACGTGGCTCGTCACCACGTCTCTCCTTTTCCTTCTTTTTTCTCTCCTTCCTTCCTTTCTTTTTCTTTCTTCATTTCTTTCATACGTACCTGACACATCACCATGTCTCTCTTTTACCTTCCTTCCTTCCTTCCTTCCTTCCTTCCTTTCTATAATTTTTTCTTTCTTTCCTGGTTCATCATTATGTCTCTTCTTTTCCTTCCTTCCTTTGTTTCCTACCTGGCCTATTGTCATTTTTCTTTCTTTCTTTGTTTTTCGTTTGGCCCATAACAATTTTCTTTCTTTCTTTCTTTCTTTCTTTCTTTCTTTCTTTCTTTCTTTCTTTTGAATCTATCACTACATCATTTTTCTTTTTTTTCTTTCGTATATGACACATCGCTATTTTCCTTCTTTCTTTTGTGCTACTATTTTTATAGTCCCTTCTCTTTCGCTTACTAACCTCTTCAGCACATTATTCCCGCCTTTTTTCATTCCTTATCTTCAGCCGCCATATCAGACAACCAAATAAATCACATTTTAAGATAAAATACGCAGCAGAAAACCAAAGAAAGTACCTAACTCGAATTCTCCTGTTAAAAGACGAATGAAATTATTTCTTTGAAAAGCTGCTCTGAATGCTGGGTGGTCAATTAGGACGAGTGAGCATTAGTCTCCATAACCTCTCAACACAATGAACAAAAGAGCTGTGATGGCGGGAATTTTTTATCAAGTGCCTCGCAATAAAGGTTGGACATTCAAATCAAGCGGCATGAGCAAAGACAGTGAACAAGAAGAAAAATACTTGACAAGGTCTATACTAGAACAGATGTACGCAAATTGTGTGTGTTTGCTTTAAATGAAGAAGATACGGCATTCAACAGAAGTCAGCAAACATCAAAACGATTTTGCAGATACATTCGACAACAGCTAACCAACTTGCATAGTGCAGTATATTTTCGAATGGGCAACACGAGGATATAAATTGGTATTCGCTTATCTTACTAAATCTTTTATATTATGGTGAGTTTTTAAAAGTAGTTGAGATGTGGCACAAGGCCAAAAATGTGGAGAACCCAGGATTGATTTCAGTATTAATTGATATAGCGAGAAAGCTCGCTAACCATTACACCAAATCGAAGTACATCGAGAAAGATTTTCTTAGCACAAGGGGAAAAGTGTGCCTCCTGTGAGGGTTGAACTCACTTCTCAGTCGTAATGGATAATTACGAGACAAGCGCGTTAACCATTACACCACCTTGAAGTGCCCCTAACATGATTTTCTAAGCAAAACGTCGAACGTTTAGAGCAACCACTGAAGAACGAACTCACTACTCAGCCATAACTGATCCAGCGAGAAGAGCTCGTTAACCATTACTCTATGTCGAAATACCCAAGTCTTTTAAATTATGTTTGGCTCGAAACAGTTAATAATTTTACCTTAACACACTCACAGACAGACACACACAGACACACACAGACACACAGGCACACAGACACACAAACACACACACACATACACACAAACACACACACATATATATATATATATATATATATATATATATATAATTTCTTTGAAGCGTTTCACCCCAAGTAAGGCTGAAAGCCACTTGAACGCCAGGGATTACAGAAGATTTGGAGCAAGATCAGATAGGATTGATAGAGGAAAGTATGAGGAGAATGATAGTGGATAGATCGATTGACATTACATTTGAATAGTTGGAGATTATAGCTCTCAGGGAAACTGGAATAGGGAAAGGAATTCCACAGGCGAGAGGTGCGAAACATTAAGCTATTGGAGTAGAAGAGACGGCTACATTTAGTAGTTTCGACAGTGAAAGTTTGAGAGCGGGATACCAGCCTCGTAGGGCGCTTGAATTCATGAAGTCTGGGAACCAGCGAATGTAGCTCCTCGGAGCAATTACCAATTGTAAAAAAGACAGAGAGAGTCGACGGCGCGTCTGTGAGAGAGTGACTCTAGACGAGATGCCAGAACAGGGCCAATTATATTGCATATCCGCCTCTGGAGTTTATCAAGAACCCCGAGGCAAGCAGAAGGAGCTCCAGACCATATATGGCAGCAATACTCCATGCAAGGGCGAATTGTTGATTTGTAGATCTGAAGGATCGATTCGGGGGGAGAAAAATTTCCTGGCGCGGCACAGGGAGCCAACTTTCCTTGCGATGGACGAAGCAATTGACTCAATGTATTTTTTCCATCTCAGGTCAGCAGTCAACGTGAGACCGAGCAGCCACAGAGAGGTGCTCTCGAGAAGTTGAGCGTCAGACATTCTAATGGAGGTCAGGGAAGGATCTCTGTGGTGATTAATAGAAAGCAGTTTGACTTTGAGGCATTAAATTTGACCAACCAATTCCTACCCCAGTTCACAACTGATTGGAGGTCCTTTTCGAGACGCACGGCTAGGTTAGTTTTGTCAGAGACACTAGATTTTTTTTGAGGCAGGAATAAATTGTTGTGTCATCCGCGTAGATGCCAACTTGGGAATTTATGGCGTCAGAAAGGTCATTTATGTAGATAGGGAATAGAGTGGGGCCTAGGGTGGACCCTTGAGGAACACCTGCGTTCGTGGGATAGGAACTGGAGGAGAATCCGTTGAAAGCGACCTTCAACTCACGGTTTGACAGGAATTATTGTATTAGGTCAAACAATCGACACGTAATGCCATAACCCTGGAGCTTGCGAAGAAGGCCGGCATGCCAAACCCTATCAAACGCTTTGGAGATTTCTAGGGACACGGCACGAGCATCCCCGTTATTTTGAAGAGCTTGATAAATAGTTTCAGTGATGGCCGTAAGCACATCAGCTGTAGATCGGGCAAAGCGGAAGCCATATTGCTTGTCTGAGAGAAGATCATGGGATGTAAGGTTGTTAACCACTTCGGCATTGATTAGGGCTTCGAAGACTTTGCCAAAGAGGGGTAGGAGACTGATAGGGCGGTAGTCAGAAGGGTCAGAGGGGTCGCCAGAGTTCTTGAAAACAGGAACAATCGAAGAGGACTTCCAGCAGTCAGGAAAACAAGATTCCTTGAGGCTGTAGTTATATAGTTTAGAGAGGGAGGGCGCCAGTTTCCTTCATCAGAGCAGCAAATAGTGACTTAGCATTGTTGAGGAAACACTTACACTCGTTACGGGCGGAGGCAAAGTGACGTTTATTGCAGTCGGACATGTCGCTACGAAATAGGTGAAAGAAGTGGTTCCTATAGGCATTGGAGGCTGAGAAAGCAGCGTAGAATCAAGGTTAGGAGCCCGACCTAAGCCTATATTTCCTTGAGGTAATAAAAGCGTCGATTTCAGCTTTAACCCAGGATGAGACCTCAGAAGCACATTCTTGGACAGGGAGCATAAAGACACCATCCCAGGGGACATCGCGCAGGAAATCACGGAATCACGGAGTCCCAGTGAGCTCGTTGATAGTAGAACGAAGTTCTAGTGGTAGGAGGTTCATTGTAGGGGTGGATTTGAAGGAGATGTTAACAGATACTACAGCATGACGGAGATACCAAGAGGACAGAGTTGCGTGGTGCTACAAGATTCGGGGATGGAGGTAAAACACAGATCGAGAAGAGAGGCTTTACCTTCCCGGTTGAAGGCAAAACGAGTGGGGAAGTTAACTATCTGCGTGAGGGATTGAGAGACTGAAACATTGAGCGTTTGAATGCCTGCGTGGTCAGTAGTAGCATCCTTAAGCCACTTGATATGATGAGCGTTAAAATCGACAAACACAAAAATGTGAACAAACGGGTGGAGGGAGAGAGCCTTGTCTATGCTGTCAGAAATGCTATCGAGTATCCCACAGTCTTGAGAGGATGGAGAGCGGTAAAGGAAGAAGAGATAGCTTACCGCATTGAGAAGAGATAGTCGGAGACACATGGTCTGGCGATTCGAGAGACAACTCTCTGACCAGACACCAAGGCTGTGCATGTGGGCTAGAGCGTCTTTTCTGAGGAGAGGGTTGTAGCCTGGGATCGAGAGATCAGAGGAGGGGATAGACGAGACAGGGTTGGTCTCACAGAGAGCCAATATATCCAGGAGGTTTGCAGTAAGGAAAGATTCCATACTGCAGAGGTTTGTTCTAATGCCACGGATGTTGTAGAACGAAATGTTGAGGGGTTTAGATGATTTTTAAGGGGCTGGTTTAGGATTACTTTTTCGGTCTCTGTAAGTCATCATGTGAAATTATGGTTGGAAGATGAGAAGGTCCAAGGTAAAAGAAGCAGACAGTTATCGACCGTGACGTGGGCAGAGAGGCGTTGACACAGCCTGCATCATGATGTTGTCACAGAGTTTCTCACCGGAGGTGACTGCAGGGATACCTTTCCATGCGCGACATGGCACTACAAACACCCCGGTATTATACAACTGTTGATCAGTGCTCCTAACTACCAGTCGGAAACAGCAACCAGAGAACTGTCAACCGTGTACCCTCGGAATGAAGAGGCAATGCCACACACTGCACATATCACGGGAGAAACAGAGCTGCACTAGTACAGAAGCCAGAGAGGGAGAGGGAGAGAGAGAGAGTACCGGGAACCCCTTCCTAAACAAGAAACAAGGCGTGAGCCTCTACTCATTTCCAAGAGAAGGGGGAGGAGTGCTGACCGGGTGGTATGAAAGCCTACCTACTCCTATTACATATAACACATACAAGAACGACAAAAACAAAGGGAAGGATAAGAGGGGGGCTAGTTGGCAAAGTGTCCAGACTGACACTTGGATTTTACCCTTTCACAACACTAACTTTTGACTTGTATAGGTCCCATTGTCCTATTTTAAAACAAAAAGAAATTGAAGAAAATAAGGTTATCCGGCTTTGTTGATATGTCATAATAAATGTCCCATCATACGTGGCAGCGAGACTTTGTCCATTGTCTCATGATAACCAGTGAATGTACGGATCACCTTAAATGCAAGCATCGAGTTTCAACGAAACACAGAGCTGGTAGGGGGGGATCAATCGGCCAATCCCCCCCACTACCAACAGGAGGTGGGGAGGATTGCTTTCATGCTTTCAATAAAATTAAGAACAACAGGAGAAAGAAACGGCGAAAACAATTCCATGTTCGGACATTTTATCTAGCAAGAAAATTCGGCCAACAAGATCATGAGAATACTGACGAGACACTTTCGCATCTAGCCAAAGGCATTCAATTTTCCTTTTTTGGATTTTTCTTTCGAACCAGGATTTCTAACTAAACCATCAAATAGGAGTATAAGTTAGGTTAGAAAAATAAATGTGTTACGATAGTCAAACAGACTGACGAGTAGGGGGAGAAAAAAAATTAAAAATTAAAAAAAAATAGAAAAATGTAAATGAGTTTTCGGTAGAGC